AAACTTGTTTAATAAACCATATCTTTCATTTTCGATTTTTAATTCACGTAGTCCGGGAACTTTCCGGACAAACTGTGTACACGTATAATTTCCGCACAACACCTAGCGAACGGCTCTCATGACCGAATATATATTTATTAATATATATCTTTAAGTTTTCTTGACACTAAATTAATTGTTGACGACAATCAAGAGATTTTAGTTGATTGGTTCCATAAAGAAACCTTTTCTAAAAGATATCTAAACTTTTTTTCGGCACATCCTCTTTCCCAAAAAATAGGTACGATTATAGGTATGGTAGATAGAGTTTTTTTACTATCTGATTCTATTTTCCATAAGAAAAACTTAAAATTTATCATTGAGGTTTTGATTATGAATAACTATCCGTTTGACTTCATTTTTAAAATTATTAACAACCGTATTAAAGTTTTGACTAATAGTAATCTGATATCGGAAAATAAATCTCTTTCAACTTCGTGCATTGATAATAACAAAAAGAGATTTTTTGTGTTGCCTTTTGTCAAGGGACTGTTTGACTCTTTTGCTATATTCAGAAACAAAAACAAGCATATAAACAAACATAAAGAAACTACTACTGACATCTCATTGGCATTTAGAAGTCTTAACAAGCTCAACAAATTTATAACAGCCTTAAAAGATCCTATCGTTCATGATGACAAAAAGAATCTTGTATATCGTATTAATTGTAACGATTGCAATGTTTCCTACGTAGGGCAAACCAAGAGAAAATTGAAAACGAGAATTAAAGAACACAGAAATCAAATAAATAGAAATGTGGGGAATTTTTCTGTTGTCACGACACATAGATTGGAGACGGGTCATGACTTTGTATGGTCTGACATAGATATCTTAGACTTAGAAAATTCTTATATTAAAAGGTCTATTTCTGAAATGATCCACATAAAATTACAGAATAATGCCATTAATGTTATGTCTGACACGGACCAACTAAAGCCTTATTTCGCCTTTCTTGAATCTTACAGAAATCAATGTTTA